CGCAGGCTCGGAAGCAGGCCATCCTTGCTGCCCTCGAGCGCTTCCAAAGTCACCCGTCGGGAATCAGCGGTCTCGGGGTGTGGGGTTTGGGGTTTAGGGTTTAGCGTTTAGGGTTTAGCGTTTAGGGTTTAGGGTTTAGGGTTTGTTTAGAGTTTTTTTGGGTTGAAGGTACAGGGCTGATGGTTTTGCCTCTGCATCCAACGCTCTTTGGTGTGTCTTTGCGCATGGGGAAGACAAGCAAAAATAGTCGCAAGGGCATGAGGGTAATTGAACTACTGGTTGCCTGTAACGTTCGCATTCTGCATATCATATCGCTTTCTTCCCTCCAGTAGGTCCTGAGTTACATCCAAAGAGTCGACTTTCCAAAATAGGGGTACCTTATTGGGGTCCTTACTATAAGGGGATCCTACTCTTTGGGGGGCTATGTTAAGGCATAAGCCCCATATGTCACAGGCTCAGATCGCACAAATGGCATATCTCAGGCTTCGTGCTTCGCACCTGCGCTACTCGAATGATCTCGAATGCCCTCCTTGATCACACCAGGCAACAGGTTCCCTTAGAGGAGGTCCCCAGGCCACCCCCCTTGAACCCCCCCTTATGCCCCCCCTTCTACCCCCCCAGTAAACCCCTTCATCCAAGGCCATCCGGGTGTGGAGCGCCGTGGCAAGGTTGGGCTGTCTGGGAATGGTCCGTGCTCAGGGGTTTAGGGTTTAGGGTTCAGGGATGTTTTGAGGGTGTAGGGAAATTTGAGCCTCTGGGAGCCACCTCCTGCAAAAATGGCAAAGCCGGCACGGTTGACGCATCGACAGTGGAAGAAGCCGGCAATGATAGGCAAAGGTGAAGTGGTGTGACGTGCGAATGCTGCTGAAGTAGGTCACATCGCCAGGAAGGATGTGCGCAATCGACGTTGTTGATGGCAAATGGCCATGAAGACCCTAGCTGCACATGTGATACAATGCTGCGGAAGCCATTTCGGTAGCCTGCGAGCCCCAGCCCCAAGCCACAAGCCAGCGCTAAGATGGTAAACGCAGGTGTCGCACCAGAATCGATTCGAGCCGGCCGGTGGCCCCAGGAACATCGCGGTGCTGCCCAACGCAGCGCGGCGAACTGCAGAGCAGTTTGAGACTGTCCCATCCGAACCCACTTGAGAACGCACAAAGATGCTGAGAATTTGATGCTTGTTAAAAAGACCTTCGACAGTGCGACTTGCAACCCGCAAAGCATCTGAGGCTGCACCGGAGAAGATGAATCGAGCGTTGACGAGCGAGTCAAGCAGGAGAGGGTCCTGTTGTCATCGCTGTGGTGTGGCGAAACTATGGATTCGACAAGGGGCCGTGTGGCGTAGATTGGCGTGGAAGTCACATCATGAAAGGTTCGGACATGCGTTTGTGTGTGGACGTAGAAGGCGGTGCACGCTCAGACCTCCCCAGCGGAGCTTCAGGTTGACTTGACCTGGACCTGCTGTTGGCAGGGCTCTTCCCTCGCTTCCTTTGAGTAATATGGTGCTATATTTTGTGATATGAAAGGTGTGTAACTGGACTTGGGGAGTTTGGCATGGCAGCCGCATCCCTGGTGGAAGCTGACCGATCCCAGCTCTACGCCCTACACCGCCGAACCCCCATCACCAGGACGCATTACACTCGAGCACGGTGCCCGGTCTCGCCACCACGCCATAGGGCTTCGGGGTCGTTACTAGTAGGGCTCCGGCATGGCGCTGGGACTCTAGAGCCTTTTGGGCCTTGCGTCTGATGCTTTGGCACATTTCAAGAAGGGTTTCGCTTCAGAGGTTCCAGGTTCCACAAGTGCGAGTGGCGTGGTGTTGAACTGTCCTGCTTGGGTGCCTCTTGCGCAAAGTCCGGATTTTGAGCGCAGGTTTCAAGGCGATACAGATGCAAGTCCCCCCCAAAAGATCCGAAAAGCTCAAACAACCGCTTCAGACTGCAACTCCAAGGAGAAACGCGGAGAAACCCAAGCGACCCCCTCAAAATCCTTGCACTTGAAACTCCCATCACCGCATCGACCGTGGGACTTTCTGAGGGACTCAAGAGGCTCCCATGGTGTTGAATGCCATGTTTTCAGGGCTTCAGGTTGGAGGTGTTTTCGGCTCAGAATAAGCATGGGGAAAGCCGAACAACCCTGACCCTCCAATACAGAGAAGACGGTCACTCGGGGGTCCAGTTCCGTGGGTTTCAACCAAGGGTAGGCTTTTTGCTCGCTATGCTGCTTTCGACCCTGAGCCGTTGCTCGCCTCAGTTGCCTCCTTTGTCCGAGAGTGTGCAGAGCCTGCAGAGCTTGCGGAGTTCAAATCACGTCTGAAAGCTTCAACATGGGAAGTTCCCCTCTAATTCCTGAAGTCGCGAGGAAATGCCCTAATTACCTGGTTGGTGTTGCTTGGCGCCGCACGCGGGCGCGGCCTGCAGGCTGTTGACTGTTGAAGCATTTGCTGAGGAAGTGCGGGTGCTCCGCTGAGAGTGTTTCTCTGGGCAGTTGGTATGTTGCAACCTCCAACGCAGCCGGGCAATCCTGCATGTGGATCAGACCCTCCCCGAACAACGTGCCCTTGTTCGAGAACAGTCGAGCCTAGCACAACAGCTCAGGGTTGGCTCACGTCAAGCGTAGAATTCAGGGGTTTGCCAGTTCAGGGTTTGCCAATGACTCCCGGGATTGAGGATGCCAGCGTTTTAGCTCGCATGCCAACGCGCTCGGAGAAAGCGCGCACAGGGTGGGAGATCTAGGTTCACTCTCGGGCCTTCAGGTTTGCCGGGGGTACACTGTGAGTTGGACTTGGTTCACCCTAAACCCTAAACCCTAAACCCTAAACCCTAAACCCTAAACCCTAAACCCTAAACCCTAAACCCTAAACCCTAAACCCTAAACCCTAAACCCTAAACCCTAACCTTAAACCCTAAACCCTAAACCCTAAACCCTAAACCCTAAACCCTAAACCCTAAACCCTAAACCCTAAACCCTAAACCCTAAACCCTAAACCCTCAGCTCCACCAAAGATCATCGAAGCCATCCGCCGTAAACTGGAGCCAAAGTCCTTCGAGGTTGCAGCTGAGGCTTTGTTGGCACATCGTCACTATTCGCCTCGAGGTTCCATAGATGTCCATGGGGAATTCCTGCTTCCCCACCTCTAGTGTCCCGGAGTCCTCCTTCTCCTGCATTCTGCTGAGATCTTTACACGGAGAACTGAAGTTTCAATTGTGCCTACCAGAGCGCAGGCACGAAGTCCCCCCTCGCCTAGCCCCTGCCTCTGCGGACCCCAAATTGATCCGATCTTGTTGTGGGCAAGTGTCAAAATGGATAGCTGCTGCCCCCACCTGATCCGCTGAACCCAAAAATCCGACGCCAGCATCCAACGCCTAAGCCTAAACGTGTTATTCGAACGCTTTGGACCTGTGCTTCCTAAGTCCCCAAAGTACTTGTGCGCGAGTTTTGTTTAAGGCAATGTGCATCGGAATCGGGCCGGTATGAAACAGTCACGCGCCGACCACGGTGTGGGCTTGCAAGAAGCACGATGTGCAGACCCCGGGGCACCAGAACTCCACCGGATAGATCCGCCACATATCCTTCTCGAGTTTGTTTTGCAAACAGTAACAACGTGTTTTGCCAAAAGAACTGAACATCAGCAAGCAAAACTTGCCGCATTGGCTGAAGCTTAAACGTAAACCCCTTGCTGTTTTGGATGTTCCCCCTGTATACTAACAATCCTGAATAGGGATTCTGAGAGGCGGTACTATAATCCCTATTAAGTACGGTTAGTATACAGGGGAACATCCCAAGTTGCTGTGTATGTCACACCGAGTCAAACCGAAGCTGCAAGTCTCAGCCCCCTTCTCCGTTCCTCAGTTGAAATTGAGGCCGTCCGCCCTTCGCAAAAAAGGTTGTTTGTTAGTTTCTTTTCTTTATTTCTTTCTTTCTTTCTTTCTTTCTTTCTTGCTGTGTTTCATTCTTTCATTTTGTGTGTGTGTGTGTATGTGTGTGTGTGTGTGTGTGTGTGTGTGTGTGTTTTGTTTCTCAGTCTCCTGCCTGCCACGCGGGCGCGTAGGGCTTGAGGCTTGGGCCTGGGGTTAAGGTTGAGTGTGTGTAGGGTTTGGGGTCCAAGGAATGGAGTTCGCCCGCCCCCCCCCCCCCCCCCCCCCCAACTTCCTGAGCTGCAGGCTAAACCCTGAACCCCAAACCCTAAACCCCAAACCCTAAACCCTAAACCCTAAACCCTAAACCCCAAACCCTAAACCCTAAACCCTAAACCCGCAGCCATCTAGCAAGAAGACGTAGGGAAGACTCGAGCCACTGGAGGGTGTGGCAGCTCCAGGCCTCGAACCTTCCAGTTCTGTAGGCTTCCGTGGCTTCAAGGGTTGAGGCGGTGAAGGTCTCTCTTTTTTTAATATTAATATATACATATATATATATGTGTATATATATGTATATATATATATATATGTATATATATTTTTTCTGTGTATTGATTGAGAAATACTGTACATAGTGAATAGACTGTATCTTCTAGATTCTAGAGGAGTTGTCGCAAGTACCGTGCCAAGTGCCAAGGGTCGCTCCAAGCCATGCAAAATCATCCTGGTCATTCATAATATCCTCTTCGTCGGCAGCAATCTTATGAGAATACAGGAAAGAGGGCAGTGGAACGTGAACGTATCGGCCTTGATCTGCGTTGGGCCTCTCCGGCCTTAGTCATGTGTAAAATCGCAGGTCTCATGTCAGCTCTTTCCGGAAAGTCATATCCGAAGCTTCACATGGAACCTGGATGGGGTGCTCGTCGGAGGTGCAGTCCGTAGCACTGACGAAGCCCCTTACTCAGAGGATGCATCTGCGCAGACAAGGCCCTTGAGCCTGAGCCCCGCTCCGGATGTCCAGAACTATATCCCCCTTGGGAATTATTGTTTATTTTTGCTTATATAAAACCCAAGAGGAGACTATGAATTTTATTAAGGTTCCAAGGGGAGTATAGAGAATGCCTGATCTGCTCCGAAGGTGAGATGGCGGCGGCGGCAATAGACATGTCCTTCTTGGAGGCACGTCCAACCCAGAAAGGGTGCAACCTTCGTTTCGGATGTCGGCGGAGCACTATAATTAAACAAGCGGACGTTGCCCCCTTTCCCCGCCTCCACGCAGCCCGCCCTCGACACAGACTGTCCCTTCTCCCACCCTTCCCCCTCCCAGACCAATCCTCCGCACAGCCGGATGGGTTTGGCCTTGTACTTGAGTTTCTTTTAGCACCCAGTTTTGGCACCCTCCTTCCGGCATTCTTTTTTGTTTTGTCCTAAAATGCCTCGCATGTCTGGAGAGTCTTGTTGATACCTACTTCAACCACGTCGAACACCTGAAGTGCGGACTAGGGTCCACGCGGTTCCGTCCTCCCGAGAGCTGTGAAACAGTCTTGTGACTGCTGTCCAGGCTGTCAAAGAGCTTTCTTTGCTTCTTTACGTGGGGATATTCCCCCTTCTGCAAACAGTCCTTAATCGGGATTATAATCCCGAAGGACTGTTAGCAGAAGGGGGAACACCCCAACCTTCACACCTCAAGAGGGCCCTAAAGTGCCTGAAAGGCCTCCACGAGACATCATGCGCCCCTGTCTTCCTGCGAGAGGATCCGAGCATATTCGGCAAAAGCCGCTTCGTCGAGGAGGAAGCAGGCGAAGCGTCCGTCTTCCTTCGGAAACAGGTTGAATACTTCTTTAGAGCATTCTGCAAGACATTTTGCCTTGTGTTGTAGGGACTTGCACTGAAGAGCTTAGAGGAAACGTAGAGGAATGGCTAGGCCAACAGGAAAGCATTTCTTTAACACATGCCCTACCGAAAACGTCTTCAATTGGAGACGTCATCTGTCACTACCCTCGATCCCGAAACTCCCGCAAGCCCGGCGAGGCGACTCCCTGCCGCCTACCCAACCAACCACGATGTGCATGCTACTATTGGAGAGTCCCCCTCAGAAGGGGAGATGGGGGCTCGAAACCCCCAAGACCTACCTAGAGTAGAGATGGGGGCGGGATGGTTTACGTCATGAGCCAACACTTCAGAGCATCTCACAGCCCTTGACCTGCCCACCACCACTAGGCTCAGAAAGCCTCCTTCGCTTCTCTGGGTTTCGAGGCGACAACGTCGAAGACTTCCGCAGCTGTGAGCCGCAAATGCCCGGAGACACAGATCCCTGCTTTTCTACGGCCTTGGTCTTCTGAAGTTCGGTTTCAGTTCTTAGGCTACGTTAGGGTAGGGTGCCACAGTGGCATGGCCGGATCTCTCGCCACAGCATGATGCTTTGGCATTTTTTGGGTTTTCTGTCCTCTGCCCCTCCTAAACCCTAAACCCTAAACCCTACACCAGCAGTCACGGGTAGCCACTGGCAATTGGCAGTCGCTACATTCTGTGCAAGGCTGGGAGTTAGAGGGTGTTTGGGGAACTCTGAGGAACAGCCCGAAGCCTCGACACTACAAACATGATCAACCCTAAACCCTAAGCCCTAAGCCCTAAGCCCGAAGCCCTAAGCCCTAAACCCTAAACCCTAAACCCTAAACCCTAAACCCCAAACCCTAAACCCTAAACCCCAAACCCTAAACCCTAAACCCTATGCCCCTAACCCTAAACCCTAACTTCCTCTTGCAGGCCCAGGATGATTCGAAGCACGCCTGATAAATATTTTCGGGTGTTCCCAATGGTGCAGCCTCGTTGTTTGACATGTTTAGAATCTTGTTAGGACTTCTACTCATTGAACTTCGTGGGCGTAGGATTTTAATTTTTAAGATTCGTATCACCTCACAGGTGGGAGTCCCCCAAACGCCCCCAAATCGCCCCAACTCTTGCCAACCAGGTTTGCCATGGCCCCGGTTGCGAATCCGAAGACGTTCTGCATCGACATGAAAAAGTCTGGGGAGGCCCAGAAACACAGACGTCTCAGCTTTTTGCTGCGAGCGCAGACACAGTGTGTTGGCACTATTAACTTCTTGCTGCTTGGAGGCACCTGGCCTCATGGATTTCAAGCAACCCGGATGTGATTTCGTTTTTGTTGTGTGTGTGTGGGGGTGAAGTTGAGGGCATAGGACATAGGATTGAGGCAAATACTCAAGCAAGCACGCTGGCTTCCGCTGCGCCCCAGCGGTTGCCAACATGCATCTTCACAGCAGCATTGTCAGGGACCAGCTTGACACGGGCAAACTACTTTGCACCGTACCCCAAACCCTAAACCCTAAACCAGAAACCCTCAACCCTAAACCCACAGGACACAATCACCACATCCACAGCACATGCCTGGCCGCAACACCAACCTTTGAGCCGACTTCAAGCAGGCAGTCGAAGCACAGAAGAACCTGACAAACCTTCGAAAGTCCATGTGTGTTGTGGAGATGTTGTGTGGGGATGTTGTGTGGGGATGTTGTGTGGGGATTTTGTGTGGGGATGTTGTGTGGGGATGTTGTGTGGGGATGTTGTGTGGGGATGTTGTGTGTGGTGTTGTGTGGGGTGTTGTGGGCAAGTGTTTCCGTGTAAGTGCGCGTGCGTGTGCTTATTCCACTCTGCGTGTCTCTTTCTTTGTCTCTTTGGGCGTGTGCACATGCGGGTTCGGCCTTCGTGCAGGTTCGGTGTTTTTTTGGTCTTGTGGTGCATGAGCATTGGCTTGAAGGGGAGGGTGTATGGACAAAGATGCAGTAGGCAGACATGATGAGATATGCATGTGTGCAAAGATGCCCCGAGCCAAGGAAAGGAACCACGACGCTAGGGTTCGTGTCACTTGGCTCTCTCAGTTTCGGCGCTGAGGCTTTTTCGGCTCCCGGGGGTTTACGAAAACAAGGGACCCTATAACGGATGCCCAAAGCGTAGGATTCCCGTATGGTAAGGACCCCAAGTAAGGTACCACTGATTTCGGAAACCACCAAATCCCGTGAAGCCAAAAGAGGTTCCAGGGCGGGATCATCATCGCGGTGGACTCCCGAGCCTCCATGGGCAGCTACATCGGCTCTCAGACGGTCAAGAAGGCCTGGGGAGGAGCAAGTAGACTGGAGACATAAGTAGACGCAAGAAGACATAAGTAGACAGCAGTAGACATATAAGTATATATAAGTAGACCAGGCAGCATGATAGAGGGATGTGGCTTTGAGTTGCTGTTTTGGGCTTGTTTCGGGTTCAGGCGTTGTACTCGAGACTCTAGGTCAACTGAAGCTGGCAAAGATAGCAATCGCCGACGGCGATCGGATGCCGCTTCTGGATTGCATAGGATGTCCAGCTCGCTTGCAAGAATTTGAAACCCCTCCCCGGTTGCCCTGCAAGTTCTCTACAAGCAGGTCAACTTAACAACATGCAACAATGTTGATGCGACGTTGACGCCACGTTGATGCAACATTCTTCTTCGATCCCCTGAAAGCCCCCCCCCCCCCCAAAAGCGTGTGGCAGGTGATTGAGATCAACGATTTCCTGCTCGGAACGATGGCAGGCGGTGCCGCTGACTGCTCGTGCGGAGCTCAGTGCTCCCGCAGTGTGGAACAGCGGGAGAGCAGGGGGAGCGATGTAGATGCACTGTTGGGGGCGTAAACCGCTCGGAGACAACGGCCTACCATGGATGGAGGCAAACAGCGCAAATTGAACCACCACGCGATTCTGTACATTTTAGTGTTCCCGTCAAGAGCGGCCGCGGTCTCCGGATCTCCTCCTCCTTGGTCGATCTTCATTGCAGGACTTGTACCTCCAATCTTGCCAGTCCACGTTCCACGTCCCGTTGTCCCTGTGACGGTGGCCTTTCTTCTCTTCTTCTTCAGCTTCTTCATGTAGCATCTCCGACCACGCGCGTGCTGTTCCGTTCTCGGCCGTCCCCGTGCTCTCCTACGAGATTTGCTTCTCATGAGAAGTGCGTGTTTTTTCTGGGGATCTCTATCCTTCAATCTCTTGTAGCAGAGATAGAATCGACAGCAGCGCTTCACCTTCTCTTCAAGTTCTGTGATATCGCACTTGCCACCCGTTCCTCGAAAGCCAACCAGCTTCGTCCATATGATGGGGGGACTTTTGGACAACTGTTCCCTGAAGTAAGTGCTTCACCATTTGGTTTATCGCAGTCGTGTTGGTCCTGAGAGTACGCCATGGCTTCGATCTGTGGCACGTAGCGTTCCAGGCATTATCCAATGACCCTGCTACATCCCGCTACCACGTTGGAGTGGCAAGCTGTGCGTTGCCAGCCTCAAAACAAGATCGCTACAGTTCGCAAGGCGGTATCATCCAGAACTTTGAGGGAGGGTAGAATGCAGAGGGGGGGGAGGGGGTGGAGTGGGGTGCAAACAGCAGGAACCCTAACCTCTGAAGGCAACCTCACCCTCGCGAGGTTTTGGGAACGCCACCTCAACCGCCTCTGCCGCATGCACGAGCTTCGGGAGAAGGCACCTCTCAGTGTTGAAGTTCCGCCCTTGCTTCTTTTATTTTTTTAAATAATGTTATTGATATTACATTTATTTATGAAAGAAAAAAGTCTTGTTTTTGCCCCTTGTTTTTGCCCATCAAAGGAAGCGGGCCTAGCAGGCCAGGCCGCCGAAGAGACCTCACACTAAACATTTTAGTTCGGTCCAAGAGGTACAGTGGGACGGTATGTTAGCATGGTTTTTGGTTTCATTCAGATGTACTTCGACGGACTAAAGAAGTGACTCGTCTGAGCCACAGAAGTAGTACACGAAATGCACAACCCCTCAGAACCTTGCTTGTCCTAAATCCTGGAGCCTTGGGGCACAGATGCGCTTTCAATCTTTTCACCGCCCATTTTCGGCTAATAACCGTTGCACTGAGCGGCATGCCAGACCTCGCAGGAACGAATCTCCGTGGCCGCAGCCTCCAAGTTGCTGGCAAACATCTTCTGGCAGTGCCCCGAAGGGTTACGGCGCTCCGTGCATAGGGAGAGGCCTTCGGGAATTGTCGATTCCAAAATTCCAAAACCCTTTCTCTCCAATTCCGTACAGGGCTCAGACTTTGGGGAGCCACTACCAGGACTCAGATTCTTTACGGAAAGGCACCCTGTGGCACCATGGGTCGTTCGTGGCTACCAGGACTTGGCCCCTCTGCCAATCGTTGAATGTAGAGTTCTCGGGCATGCTTGTGTTCCGTTGAGTCGAGCCTTTTGCTCCAATGTCTCCACTTGCACAGTGCCTTTCATGCCATCCTGAGTCCTAAGCTCACCATCCGAACCCTAAACCCTAGACCCTAAACCCTAAACCCTAAACCCTAAACCCTAAACCCTAAACCCTAAACCCTAATCCCTAAACCCTAAACCCTAAACCCTAAAGCCTAAACCCTAGACCCTAGACCCTAAACCCTAAACCCCAAACCCTAAACCCTAAACCCTCGAGGCTCCTAAAGTGCCCCCGGTAAATCCTCATGTTGCGGTCGAGAGGTATCGGGGCCAAGGGCTGTCTTGCGGAACCATGGTCGCCGGGTGGGACAAGAAGGCCAGACTCCACCGCTGAGGGTTTAGGGTTTAGGGTTTAGGGTTTAGGGTTTAGGGTTTAGGGCTTAGGGTTTAGGGTTTAGGGTTTAGGGTTTAGGGTTTGCGGGGGTGCAGGGACAAGTTTCGGGCCTTGTGACCTTGTGGATTGTAGCAGCGAAGGTGAAGTGTTGGAGGGCTTCGGGGGAGTTGATGCATTGAGTCCTCAAAGCATGCGTTCGGGTGCAGGTCTGAAGGGCAGTAGTATGCAATAGTTCAGGACTCCAAGCTCGTTTCTGCGAGGGAACCAAAAGTATTGCCTTTTTGCGTGAATGAAACAAAGAGGCCGGCTCGCTTCTTCCTAGCTGCGGCTTGATTTGGCTGCATGTTCTTGACTTGGCTAGTTCGGTTTGCTTGCTGTCTCTCTCGAATCATGCTTGCACAGTGCATGTGTTTCCTTAGAATGAGGCTCCTTCAGAAACGGGCGCTTTTTACAATGCTACGAAAAGGCGGGTGATGGGGAACAAATAAAATGGATATCGGATATCCAACCGATTTTACATTTGGGCCCGGCCGCAGGTGATTTAAGTCATTGGAAGGGTGGGCCCCGCTATCCTGGGTCTTTGCCGGAAAGCTGACTGTCTGCTTGAAGTCGGTTTAACTGTACTTTCTGCCTTCCACGCGACAACCTCTTTACTTCCATCTGCTTTGGTGTTTCCATCAGAGTTGCTGCAGGTTTCAGTGAAACTGCGAACCCCACTCACATCTGAATTCGACCTTTTCGGCCGCGCAGAACCTCCCCCAGGTCCGCTAGAGACTTGAAAACTGCAGGAGGGGCAAACTCTGCACATCAAGCAAACTCTGAGCCGCCTGGTGGTCAGGGCCCCTCGCTGTACATGGTGGATGACCAGGGAGACCGCCACAAGGGCAACGTGTTCTCAGCACCTGGGATCGGTATCTGATTCCTAGGATTCAAGGGTTTGGAGTGACAGGGTTTGGGGTTTGGGGTTGTTTTAACCTAATGGAGGAATGAAGGGTTTGGAGGAGTTCTCCTGGATGTAGGAAGCCTCGCGTTGAGAGCATGTGCTCACGCCTTTCATCGAAAGGTAAACGCACCGTGAATCTAATCTTTCTTGTGTTTCACAAGCACGAATTTTCGATAAAAAACAGGTCATAACGCATGACCGCCAGGTTTGCGCAAGGAGATAACTTGCGTTGCATGCATTAGGATGATATTTAACATCTTGAGTTTTGGAGATGAGGCAGAAGGCAGGATGCATGCCCCTTGATTTAGCAAGACAAAGGCTTGTGTTTTCAGAATACAGAAGGTATCTAACATTATGATTCCTTGGCAAGTATACGGCGGGCGCCCCTAGTGTTGTTCACCCACGATGAAAAAGAGTAGGAACTTGGGGCGTCTGGGGTTGGGATCAAGTCTTCCCTGCAAGGGGGCTCCTTAGCGTCTTGGATTGTGGCCACGCCGCATCATGCTAACTTTGTGCTCAGCAAGCAATAGAAGTGGAGGCAACTCCCGTCATGAGCTTTGCGATTCATGTAACTTTTGCGACCGCGGTGCCCGTTCGTAGCATCCCATTCGAAACGTACACGGCTTCTCCACACTCTTTGCTAAGACCCAGGAGAAGATCTCCGGATCCTCCCTCCAAGCTTTGAGCCGCAATGCCTCAACAGCCTAAACACCACCCTCAACACGGGTCAGAACTCTGAAACTTTAAAGCCCCAAAACACAACCCAACACAACTCAAGCCTAAAGTGTGCCTCCAGGTGGGCTCAGGTTCGACCTTCGCCTATGGTGTGCCTGTGCAGAAAGTTAGAGGAAGGGGGGCTTTCACACCGCTTCAAGCCTGTCAAGAGTCTTTTGTCATCTCTGTGTAGTAGAATCTGTGACTTGAGATCAGTTTTTTTTTTGGGTTCGCCTGCATATTGCTGTTGACTACCTCCTCCTCCAACCCTTTGTACGTCACTGCACCCTTGCGCCATGACCCCCCCCAGCTTTACATAGATCGTTAGTGAGCCTCTTGATAGTGGAAGGGGTCCGAGGTTCTTAAAGCCTGAAATGAACGATCCTGAGCTCAGACTCCATGTGAGGTCCTCGACTCCGGCTACCGTTTCGACCTCTCAGTCGACGAGGTGCGCGCGATGAGTTTTGGGTCTGCAGGTTGTTTGGCGGGCTCTTGCGCAGGGCCTTTTCTGCATCAAGGGATGCCGAGACGAAAGCGACGTCAACCTTGCAACATCTTGGCAACGACGAAAACATCCACTTTGTCCAAAATCGTGATGCAACCGACCCATGGACCTCTGTCAGGCAGTGGAACTAGGAAGGCGATCGATCTACCACGCCACGCACCGTGACGGCGCTTCCGGCGGCGTCGTGCGGGTCTACCACGCCTGGGACCCGTCAAGAGCGTTGAGAGTTTGCTCTGCACTTTCTTGAGTGTCATGGTCTTCTGGAGCCTCCTCGTTGAAGGTAATCTATAGGTGTCTGAGCCTAGGGCCAGTTTGGGGGAGTTTGGGCCTGAATCCTTATCCGCCCTGGGCACTTCTGTCACCCGGCCATCATACCAGCTTTGCTGAGGCAGATGATTAGGGAAATCCCAGCTCAAGGACTGCCCGAACCTGGCCTTCGGGGCGACTGCCCACACGGGAAGCAAAAAACCCTGTAGAACCTGGACCCCACCATTCTTGTTTTTGCTTTGAGCAACTTCTGGACTTCTGAAACTCTGAGCCTGAGGTCCATGAGAAGGGCTGGACAAAGGCACGCGGCCGAATTGTGCAACATGTTTCGACCGTGAAGCGATGTTGCAAAGCGTTGAGGGGAGGTTTCCTTGCGGGGGGACGGGGGGCGGCTGCAGAAGAAAGCGCATCTAAGAGGCTTGACGGGTTTTCGTTTGAAAAGCTGTTCAGTGCTTTCAAAAGAGAAGGTTTTGGGGTTCGAGTCCGGGTCAGCAATGACGCACAAGAGGCCCTAGGCCACGAGCCCAACATAGTGGCGACTCCACTCCTGGCCTGACTTCATCTGAATCCTGAGCCTCAAATCCGAAACCACGTCTGCACACGGAACATGGACTTGTGTTGATCTTTGGAGTTTGGCCTTAGTCGAAGGCTTCATTCACAGGGCGGAAGCTGCCAGGTCATTGCAGGGGAAGATGTCAACAAGCTGCACTACATGTGCTGCCAGCGCAGTGGGTTCAAACGGGCTTGTGGCTTTTGGGCTTTTGAATTGTGCTGAGGGAGGTTGTCACACCAACAAACTCATTGAGGCGGGTTTTCGCTGGCTCGGGGACCGCTCGCCAGATTGTTGGGGAGCAGATATCCAGAACGGCTTGTTAAGCGAGACAACTTTGGCAACGTTCACTTGTGGTGCTTCGGGTTTCCGATCCAAGGGGTTCCAGGGCTTGCATCCTCTGGGTGAGCCATTCACGCATTGGCTCCGCTCATCATGTTGTGTAAGAAGCTTCATGAAAAAGATTGTCGCTTCGTATTCTGTTCGGTGTTTTCGGGCGAGGCTTCGTACTTCTGGGCTCGTTGTTGCCTGCTGAGTTGGCATGTTGAACTTCAGCCTTGTGGCCCCCGTCATCGCTTTCGTGTCCAACCCCCCCCCCCCGAGTCCACTCTTGAATCCTGTGAATCCTGGTTTACTTTTGAGTGGACATTGGCCAAATGGGGGTTGGGGATATTGGGGGGGTACCTTTGTTGGGGTCCTTATCATAAAAGGGGATCCTACTATTTCGGGGTTTAATTTAGGGTCCCCTACTTTCGTAAGCCCCCAAATTGGCCAGGTACGCCAAGGAGAAGAGCTGCAAGGGAGACGAGTGAGCTTAGCAACCTTCCCTCTCTGATCCCGGACCGTGGGCAGCAGTCAAATTCGGAAATGGAGAGACCCGAGTCCCGAACGGTAGAATCTACAGGCATCTGCAAACCATGCATGCCGAAAGTAGCAGCAAGTTAAGCCTGTGAGTTTATGGAGCAGGTTGTCGGGTTGTTAAGGCTCCAGCGGCCAAACAAACGGAAGCAGAGCTTGTGGCCGTTTCGAGTGCCAGTAGAAAAGATGCTGACCACGTGCATAGCGCTGCTACCGCCGCTGAACAGATGAGACTCAGTCAGAGCGGCGAAAAGAGACCCACGCTTGCTTAGACTTCTCCGGGCTTGACATGTCTCGTCGTTTGAAGGGTAAGGTGTGGGTGTGGCGGGTGTGGCCGGTGTTGCGAGCGTTGCGTGTGTTGCGGGTGTGGCGGCTGCAGGATGTTTACGTCGAAGGACGATCTGTCAATCTGTGGCCGTGATCACGAAAAGAAGCAGCAAATCAGATCAAAGCTCGACGACTCCTGGACGACCACCGTCAGCGCACCAAGTCGCCAAGCGGGGACCACACGCCAAGCCCCATCAGTGCCAACTGCTGGGGGCTGTCAACCCTCCCATGACAGAAGTTTTTTGGTACGACATGGCCTTGCGGTTCAAAACGGTTCGTTATCTTGTTGGGAGCTTGATTGTGAATTCAATTGCGGTAAATCCGATATGCATACGAGTCACGGCTGTGGGCCTCGTGTTTGTCTGAGTTGATGTGCACATCCGAACCCCTCTAGTGAAAATCGCCGTGGCTGACCTTTCATAAAAGATGCCTGACTCACGGACTGAAGTGTTCAGCAGAAATTTGGCATGTGCCATTCAATTGAATCACCGCTGTTGGCGTGCTTTCACCAGATGCGTGCAGTACTGGCGCTCACATCCTGCCATCGGGAGCGGCAGCCGAGCGCTGTCACTGCCTGGCTCGCTGATCGGTTCCTGCCTGCGCGTGAACTCGCAACACGCAGTTATGTCATCTGTGCTCCTCGCCTCTACCTTCCTCCGCTTCCGGGATCACGCCGCGACATTCCCAGGTCACCTCGCTCGCCGAGGTCGAGCTGCCCTGCAGGCGCCCCACGCGGCTTACCTTTGTGCCGACCCTCGCACACCGTGCTGGCGAGCGCCGGACGCAGTCGAGCTGCAGACAAAGCTGCGGCACCCGGCGGCGCCTACAATCCAGGACATCCCGGGGCCCCGCCAGCCAGCCCGCCATTGCGGCGTGTCTTCGGGTTCGGGTCCGGGGGGGGGGGGGTTTCACACGTATTCATACGGCCACCCCGCGCAACTGGCGACGAGGCGACGTGGGATGCGCTGACGGATCTTGAGCGTCGATCGACTTCCCGCGCCCGCCGCCTGATCCTTGCAAGCCGGCTCCCTCTCTCCCATCCTTGTCCCCGCAAGCCATCGCGCGACAGCCTTGCGCGATGCCCCCCCGCCGTGGCGCTGCCTCAGGCCTCTCTGGTATGCGCGCGGAGCACCTCGATATACAGTTGCAAAACTGTTGCAATGTGAGGACTACGCATGCAGGCGTATTTAAAAAAAATGCCTGCACTACGGCGTGTACATGCGCTTTGTCTGATTCTTTGGGAGCAGGTTGGCTAATACGGCCTCGCAGCTTCGGCAGGGCGGGAGGGAAAACTTCGTACTTTATAGCACTCGCTCATTGTAATTCCTTGCAAATTGAACTCTCTTTGTAATAATTCTTTTATCACCATAGCCATTTTGGCTCAAGCCCGTAGCCATTTCGGATCAAGCTCAAGTACAGCTTCTGGGCCGAAGGGCAGCTGGGGGATCGTGGCGCTTCGGACAGCCGGAGGGTGAATCGGGCGGGTTATCCCTGCGCATGCCGAGCCTGCTTGTAAAGCTCTCCGATTGGGAGTGCGCGGGGAGGCGTGCCTGTGACTTCCAGCAAGCGTCCCCTTTTGACTGCATGGTACTGGACCGGCGCAGTGCATCTCGCACCGAGCCGCTGCGCCCCACCCCGCTGTCGATACCCCGCCACCTGCGCGTGAGCGCTCCCTTCCGGTGGCAGGGCGTCAGGCACGGAACGCGGCACAGGTCGTCACCGAGCTGGTGCCAAACATCGCGACACAGGGAATGGCAAGGGCAAGGCCAGCAAGGCTGGATACAACGCAGGCAAGTGGCCAGGAAACAGGCCTGATGGCCAGCCCACCTGTGCGGACCTTTTGTGCCGAGCCTCGGAGCTTCTTCAGGCTTCTTCTGAACAACTTCACGCCGCGGCCAAAAACGCTGAGCATGGCAAGGCAGTCCTCTGTCGGCACGATCCGGCACCGGCGCATGCAAAGCGCCAGCAGGCGCTTCGCTGGTTTTTTTTGTGGATGGTTTTTGGATATGCTGGAGACCGCCGCTATTTGCCGACGGGCCCTGGACACGAACCTCGCTGCTCGGAACGCTGACCACAAAGGACGGATTACCCGCAATTGCATGCGCGCTTGCCTTCTTGCATACTGTTCCTTGTCATGTGGTTTTTTTCGCACACTTGTTCGCGGTCCCAGTGCAAGCTACGCTCAGCCACGCACCGGGAGTCGGCTCGGGGCGGCGCCCTCAAGCCATCGACCCTTAAGGAGGGAGGCGGCAAACGCCCGCTGCGCTGCAGCGGCGATGAAGCCACTCCAGCGGGCGACGTGCGCGGCGGCTGCGGAGGAGCGCACCGCGGCATGGACGCTGGCAGCGCGCGCACGGGCAAGGAGCCGCAGGAAAGTGACGGCTTTGGTCCCCCATCGGCCCCAGACCTCAAGGCCGAACACGGGCAAGCGGCAACGGCGGGCACGTTGTGGTTTGCCTAGTCCAACTTCTGCTGCTCCGCAGCTGACGCATTTGCCACGCGCCCGCGTCCGGTGGGACCCCTACGCGAGTGCAAGGGATGGGGAGGCCTCACACCCAGGTCCGACCCCTTTGCAAGCGGAACACGTGACAGCACTGCGCGCGCTTGCCCGCGTTGGCATAGGCGTCGGGGCGGCTACCGACATGGGCCGCCCCCTCGATGCCGCACGTGATGAGTTCCAAGACTGCCGTGGACTCGCCGCCCCCAGATGACGTCGTGGGCATGACACCGCCACTGACTGAGGCAGACCACTCGCCGTCGGCGGATGCCCAATCAACCAGGCCGCCTGGCGGGGGCATCCGGGCACTGGTCATGGGGGACACGTTCCGATGCCTGGTGTCGCGGAATTTGGCGCAACAGGCTTCTGACGCGTTCATGGCAGCGTGCGCGCCATTCCAGTACACGTTGTCCACCCGCGCAGGAACGGAGTTGGCGCTTATGACCACGTCGCCCGAGCGGCGATGTTCGAGGGCCTGCGACGGGACGCCCGATTGGCCGCCTTGAACCCCTTTGTCCGGCAGCGGCGTGCCTCCGGAAGAGTGGGTTTGAGGTTCCGTCCTGGGACCGCGGGACGGCCTGGTAGAACGCGGCAAACAGCCGCCAGGAGCGGTGAATGAGCGGGTGCCAGGAGACTCGCTGCAAGGCTGGCAGCGCTCTGCAGCGGCTTCCCTGGATGCGTCAGCGTGCGCGGGCCCTTTCCTTGACCTGGGCCCTTTCTTGACCTAGACCCTGCTTCGCGCGCCCTGATGCTGTCCCAGGCACTGACGGCTTTCCCCACGGCACCGGAATTCCGTTTGCAGAGCTCGCACTTCCGGGTGCTAGCGGCGGCTGCGCCTGCCGCTCCCACTCGCGCCACGCCAGTGCCGGTTTCCGACAAGGACATTTTGCAATGGCCTCAACGCGCCGTGTTTTTTGGTTTTTGTCGGACCGTTTTCCACCGTCAGCCGCTCAGACGCCGTCACCGAGCTTACAGCCTACCTACAGCTACGGGCGGGCAGGGACGCGGCTACGTTGTGGCCCGGCTTGCCATCGGGCGTCAGCGAGGAGCTCGTGCAGAGTCGTTGCCGGTCCGGCAGCACAGGGCTCCGTCTGCAGTGGCAGCTCCAGAAACGTGGCTGCAAGCGCTCGTTGCGCAGCAACCGCGATGAGGCCACCCACGCGGCCTGCGCGGCGGGACGGAGCGCAGCCGGCGTGACGGAGGCGCGTGCACGCGCGAGGAGGCGACGGAACGAGGCGGCTTCGGCGTCCCAGCGCCCACCCACCTCAAGTCCAAACACAACCAAGCGGCATCGCCTGCCGCGGTCAAGCTCAGGGTACGTCTG